CCGGCACTGCCTGTTGCTCTGCAGCGGGCACGGGTGCTCCATACAAGCGCAGTAGGGACAGCAAACCGTCTGTCGCACGGGCTAAGGTCAGCTCCCACAAGTGTGCATTTAAATAAATATTTGACCTTGTCCAGGAAATACAGAGGAGTTTGCGTATGTATTTCTATGCTACACTAGTCCTCTCCAGCGCAGCTGCAGGAATACAGCGGGTGTACGGGCTTTCATTATTTCTCTTCTCCAAAGCCAGCCTCCAACGAGTATTTGGCAAAGAATACAGCTTTTGAGGGGAAAAAAAATCCCAAGACGTTTTTTTGATGAGTGAGGTCTCATGAGAGTCGCTAACATCTGCGGGATGGAAAGGGAGAGGGCGGTATATTTTGAGATCCTCCCTACGGGCGGACAGGGCCAGCACATTGCTGGCAGGCGGGCTGTGATCATTTAAAGAGCAGCACCCATACCCAGTGTAGGGCTACCACCGGGTTTTGGTGTGCCTGCTGGACATGTACAGCACCTGTGAAGAGGGCTGAGCAATTGGAGACAGAGCAACAAGTACAACGTCTTGGAATCATCACAGTATGAGCAAAACCCTCCCTGCCGGACCAGCACAGAGCGCTGGCTCAGTACGCGGTCCCCAATAGTGTCCTGCAACCCCTGCAGCAAAGAGCAGCAACGAGGTGGGTGAAATGGGGCGCTCACCACCCACAGAGCTGCCTGGGCATGTTTGGCTGACAAGGGACAGAAACTCACCTTCATCCAGCAAAGAGTGTTTTTCCCCATGCAATTCTCCATCGTTTCCTCTCAGGATCCACTCTCAAAAGTGACCTACAAGTAATTCTTCCAAAAATAAACCTAGGAAATAAGAGGACTCTGCCAGGCACTAGCCCCCATGAATTCATCGCATCTAAACCTAATCACTGTATTCCTGCTAACATCCTTACTGCCATCCTTTCCTCTCAGATGGGCTGGGTGGCCGCAGACGCAGCCTGGACAATGGGCAGTCATGGGCAAGCAGCTTCATCTCCTGCTGCTTGTCAGG